TTCCTTCCTTCCCTTCCTTCCTTCCTTCCTTCCTTCCTTCCTTCCTCCTTCTTCTTCTTCTTCTTTTTTTTTTTTTTTTAGATGGAGTCGCTTGCTCTGTTGCCCAGCTGGAGTGCCAGTGGCATGATCTTGGTCTCACTGCAACTCCGCCTCCTGGTTCAAGCCATTTCTCCTGTCCTCAAGGCTTTCTGAACCAGCTGGACTACAGGCGGCACGGCACCAATGCCAGCTAGATTTCGTAGGAGATGGGGTTTCTAGCCATTTGTCCCATGGCTGGCTCGACTCCTTGAACACGGGAAGGTCTGATACCACCACCCTCGGGCCTCCCAGTGCTTGGGGATTATAGCGTGGCCATCCGCGCCTGGCCAATAGAGGACGTTTCTTTTTTTTTGAGACGGAGTCTCGGCTCGTCGCCCAGGGCTGGAGTGCAGTGGGCCGGATCCTCAGCCTCACTGCAAGTCCGCCTTCCGTCACGCCATTTCTCGATCTCCTGACCTCGTGATCCGCCCATCTCGGCCTCCCAAAGTGCTGGGATTACAGGCTTGAGCCACCGTGCCCGGCCGAGGACAGTTCCTTAGCAGGGTCCCCCAGCACATAGTTAGTCATCAGTAATACCAGGCATTCATCCACATGCTGTCACAAGGAGCAAGAGCGTAGGGGGTCAGGTGGCCCAGGAAGTCAGGCTTCCAGAATTAGAAGGATTTCCCCCTAGATGGACTTGAATGCCCCAGAAGAGGCATTTGGACCAAGCCGCTTGGCTCCATCAAGCCACAGGTGTTCCTGAAGACGGCAGATGTGACCTCAGGGAGGTCGTAGTCATTGGCCCTGGGTGATGTGAGGAGGACGCAGCCTCAGGCTGGCTACCTCCATGTCCCCAGGACTAGGGGATGGGTGGGTGGGTGGGAGCCGTTCATGCTGACTGGACACTGAACAGCCGCAGGTTCCTCTCAGCCTCCAGGTGTGGGTGAGGGGGAGGGTGCCCCAGGGGTGGGCGCCCTGAGAGGCAGCAGCGGGAGGCTCGTAGTACTTACAACAGCTCTTCGGAATATAAGCAGTGAGCCGCAGTGAGAATCCACCACTTGTTGAGGATGGAGCCGCCACAGAAAGGTTCACCTCTGGCCTGAATACTCACCTGCCACGGAAACTCACCCACCTCCGCCTCCATCCCCCCTGTGATTCTGGAATACCGAGTTCTTCCCTCGAAAATGGATCTGTCGCCACATTCTGGTGGAATGAAAGAGAGTGGAAAGCAAAAAGGGAAACATTTAGTCAGCGTCCAGTGTGAGCCGGGGACCGGGCTGGGAGGAGGAGGCTTCCAAGTGGATATCCTCCCCCCCATTCTAGAGAGGAGCTCACTGAGGCTGGCGAGCGGGGCAGCTCTTGTGGCATCAGCCAGCAGATGCTTTAGTTTTTCTACACAGAGCTCAGCAGGCGAGTCAGAAGCATTGGCTCTGACTCTATCCAGCATTTGTGACCTCAGGAGAGTCACTTCACTGAGCTTTCTGCTCTCATCCAGGAGAAATTGGAAGAAAATAGCGTCCAAAGCCAACGTCCTGTGGTGGGCAGGACAGTAGCCCCCTAAAAGAGGTCCAAGTTCTAATGGGCCATCTCCCCAGAACCTGCGAATATTTTAGCTTGCAAGGAAAGAGGGGTTTTGGAGATGAAATTTGGGTTGCTAACCACTGCTCTCAGAGTGGGGACACGATGCTGGCTTTTCCGAGGGGCCAGTGGAATCACTGAGGCCCTTGAGAGGGGTGGAGGGAAGCAGAAGGTCAGGCCGAGGGAGAAGTGACTGCAGAGGAAAGGCAGAGAGATGCGACATAGCTGGCTTTGAAGATGAAGGCAGTGGCCCAGAGAAGCTTCTAGAAGCTGGAAGTGGAAAGGCGAAGAATTCTCCCTTAGAGCGTCCAGTAGGAATGCAGACCTGCCACACCTTGAATTCAGCCCCGGAAGGCCTGTGCTAGAGCTCTGTCCCACAGTACTGTAGGATAAGATATTTGTGTTGTTTAAGCCGCCAAGTGTGTAGTCATTCATTTCAGCAGCCCTAAGAAACCACAAGGGGCGGGGCACAGAAAGTGCCAGAACCTACCGGAAAGCCCTGGCTAAAAGCCCTGGCTGTTCTAGGCTAGTCCAGGCTGAGCAGCTCCTTTACTTGGGGGACTGAGAGCAAAGCTGTAACTGCCTGTGTTGAGGCAGGAAATTCCCCTTCCGGACAGAGGCTGGGTCCAGCTCCTCGCCCCCAGGAAGAGGAGATGCTCCATTAATATTTGCTGACTTGAATGTCTGCCTTGTGTTCTGGGACAAGGCATGAGTTTGACTCTAAAAAGCCCAAGACCCTCTTGTCTCTTTCTTGCTGCTCATTTTCCAACCATCAGCTCAATAGAAGCTGTGAGGATTTTGTCATTTGGGTGACCCTGTGGTGATCATTTTTGGTTTAAAAAAAATACACGAGTGAGAACTTAGCAATGTGCATCCAGAGCCTTCTGCTGTCAGTAATGCATAAAGGCTCTCTTCGGGACTTTTGTTTGTTTGTTTTGTTTTTGAGAGATGAAGTCTTGCTCTACCGCCCAGACTGGAGTGCAGTAGCATGATCTTGGCTCAATGTAACCTCTGCCTCCCAGGTTCCAGTGATCCTCCTGCCTCAGCATCCCAAGTAGCTGGGACTACAGTTTTTGTATTTTTTAGTAGAGACAGGGTTTCACTAAACCTGTATGTTGGTCAGGCTGGTCTTGAGCTCCTGACCTCTGGTGATCCGCCTGCCTCTGCCTCCCAAAGTGCTGGGATTACAGGCATAAGCCACCATGCCCAGCCTATTCGTGACTTTTGGATCCACATTTCTTCTCTGATTTTATTTACATATGATGCTTACTGTGTGTCAGGCACTGTCGCAAGCACTTTACAAGCACCGATTCACTTGGTTGTCATAACTGCCCTACTGAGGTAGGCTCTCTTGTTTTCATCCTCACTTTGTAGTTGAGACAAATGAGGCACAGAGAGGTTAAGTAGTTTGCCCAAGGTCACACAGCTAGTCAGTGACTGAACCATGATATGAGCCCCAGGCAGGCTGGCAGCAGAGCTGGTGTTCTCATCACTGCCCCATGTGGCTCTCTGCCTGAAATATTCTTCCCCAGGCAGTTACTTGGCTCCTCACTACGCCCAAGAATCCCTTCTTCAGAGTGTCCTTCCCTGACCTGTGTCTGAAACAGCCCCTCCCATCCTGGTGACTCCTTATTTCCTACCCAGTGTTACATTTCTTCATTGCATCCTTGTTACATTAACTCCTACATTATAAGTCCCTTTTGCCTGACTCTGGTACCAGAATGTAAGCTCCAGACGGAGAAGGCAACATGCTTGTCTGGTTGATAGCGGGTCCCAGGGTCCGAAAACCACACGTGGCATAGAAGAGGCACTCAACAACCATAAGTCATCCTCTGACTCAATGACTCTGGGAGTCTGGAAGGCAGCACATATGTGCATCTGATGATGTTCACTGCAGCGATCTCTATCATCGTGACAAATTGAAAACCAGCTAAATGCTAGGGTTGAATAAAGTAAGGCACATCCATATCATCAACTGCTTCTCAGCCACAAAATTAGGCTCATGGGGGATTTTTAACAACACAGGGAAATGTCTGTGATACAAAATTGAGTGAAAAAGTCAGGATGAAAATCATATTTAAAACTTGTGATTTTATTATGTTAAGAATGTGGGCTTATGAGTATGGAAGGAAGTACATCAAAATGCCGAGTGTCTATGAGGTGGATTGGATGGTGGGCAGCTATGATGGGTGCCCTCTGTCTCTCCGTCTGAGATGCAGAACGTGGCACGTGCCAGACAGCCCAAGCTTGAATCCAGGCTCTGTTGCTTACTCACTAAATGATTTAGGGGAAGCTACTTATCTTTGAGTACCCCCCCCCACTTTCTTCATTCCTAAAATAAGCATAAGATAATGACAACTTTATAAGACTGACGTGTGGATGAAATAAGAGGATGGATGTTGAAATGGCCGACAAAGCGCTTGGACCAAAGTCAACTCTCCAGAATGAACTGGCAGAATTTCTCATATCCATTTTGCATCAAAGTCCCCATGGGACTCATCCCCCACATTCTTGGTCCTGAGATCAACCCACAACATCCATATGGAATCATGTGGAGTTTTAGGTTCATGCAAGAGCTCAGAGCCTGGAAGCAGTGATGGAAGCAGAAACGGCTGCTTCTGAGTGATCTGAGCAATCATACATTTTGGGCCCCCTTGCAATGGGACACCAGAGGAGCATGTTCTGCTGATGCTCTCCCCTCACTCCCCCTACCCCTTGTTCACACAGAGTGCAGTGGACCCCAGGCTGGACTGAAGGAGGCCAGGTGAACCTGCTGTGTTCTGGGCAAGAGGGAGTGTGCACAGGGCAGGCAACCTGGCACTGCGGTCGCCCAGTGCAGGCCAAGCAGACAGCTCTGTCATTTCCCCATGGGTCAACTTTGGGCAAATCCTCATCTTCAGTGAGGCTGAGTTCCTTGTCCACACGTGGTCTGAGAGCAGATGCCCCACCGTGGTGGTGTGTGCGTTAAACACGGGGAAGTGCTCGACCCCTAACAGTTGCTAGGTATCCCAGTGTCCCTGAAGTCTCACCCGTCCCCTTGGAGAAAGAAATGAGCCATTAGGGAGCTGCAGGGGGCCAGGCACAAGGACACAAGCATCCTTGAACTTGGTCTGACTGATCTAGGCTTCCCTGGGCATCTATGGCTCCTGGAAGCCTGGTGCTGTTGGGAGCCACAGAGGCCCAGGGTAATGGTCCCCCTCCAAGTGGCAGAACTCAGTCTCAGCTAGTTCTAGGCACAAGCTTGAGGGCAGCCTACTATTCCTTTGAGGATGAAGTGTCAGGTTTCAAAACCAAAACTCAAGGTCAGACAGGTCAAACACTGGGCCAGGGAAGAGAGGAGAAAAGGGAGAAGTGATTTGGAGGAAGGGTATGTGGGGACCCCTGGAGCTCTGGCCTCGTGCTCTGCGATCCACCCTCCTGGCAGCCAGTCAGCTGGACCATGAGCCCCCATCCATGCCCCCTCTGCTCCTGTACTCACCACTGACTGGGCGGGGGGGATGAGGGCGCTGAGGGTGGTGGGCGCCCCTAGCCCCACCTAGGAGAGCCACTCCAGCCTCTGGGAGAGGAGTCCGCGGACTGAGTTGAGCTTCTGTGACTAGGGACAGGAGCAGCAACACTGAGAACAGGAGCATGGCCCTAGGCTGTGCTGTGGGCCCGGGGGTGACAGAGGCCAGGGCTGAGGGAGTGAGGCTGACAGCCTCTGGCTCAGATCCAGGGCCCCCAGGTGATGTCACAATGGGCTGTGGAGCCGAGAACTCAGACTGCAGTTATGAAGACTTCTTTTCTGACTGTTTTGTTTCTAGGATGGCTGCACAGAGGCACCTCATCTCAGAGCCTTTCTTATCCCAGGTTTCCTTCTCCCTGACCTGGGCACCACCCAACTTCCCGAGTGTATTAGTCCATTTTCATGTTGCTGATAAAGACATATCCGAGCCTGGATAATTTATAAAGAAAAAGAGGTTTAATAGACTCACAGTTCCAGGTGGCTGGGGAGGCCTCACAATCATGGCGGAAGGCGAAAGGCGTGTCTTACATGTCGGCAGACAAGAGAGAATGAGACCACGTGAAATGGGAAACCGCTTATAAAACCATCAGACCTTGTAAGACTTATTCACTACCAAGAGAGCAGTATGGGGGAAACTGCCCCCGTAATTCAGGCATCTCCTGCCAGGTCCTTCCCACAACACGTGGGAATTATGGGAGCTACAATCAAGATGAGATTAGGGTGGGGACACGGTCAAGCCATATCATTGAGCCTCCGGTGGGCACAATGATGCTTTCAGCCATTGTCACCCCCAAACATTTTTTGAGGCTCAGTTCAGGCCACGGCTTCTCTGTGAACGTGGGGGTAATGTCTGGGGGAAGGGTTTCCAGCTTGGGCCCTCAGTCTGGGGAGGCCTGGAGGCCTCTGCCAGCACCCGCGCCCTGTGGGGTACAGCTGCCCGCTTAGTTCTCTGCCCAGGATTCTGACCCGGGGCCTCAGGTGTGGCTGCCCAGGCCAGGTTGAGAGGTTCTGGCCTCCCCTCATGCCCAGTGTGGCGGGTCCCAATCCCCTTTCTACCACCTTCTAGATGGATCCCACATGGCCCCCAAGTGTCCTGATGGGCCCCTGTGTGTTCCAGATGAAACAACCAGCCTCAGATGGAGGTTCCTGGTGTGTGGCCTCACTGGATGTCAGTGACTCAGTCATGCTTTAGACCTTGTGTGTTTTTAAAACTTCCACACCCCTCAGTGCACTGACCCAAGTGGACTTACCCAAGCAGCCTGGGCACTGCCTTCCTGGCCACAGGCTGAGCCTAGTGGTTGGAAGTGACTTATGGACTCAATCGCCAAAGTGCCCACGTGTCTACCTGCCCAGTCTTACCTCCTCGGTTTTCTCATCTGCAGCAGAGAAACACAACGCTCACTGGCATGCAGGTTACTGTGAGGCTTAAAGTGAGATCACATGACCGGCAAGGTGGCCTCTCACGGGTGTGGCTCGAGCTACTTCCTGGGGAGGAGATTCCAGAACTTCTCTGCTCTTTCTCACAAGGTAGCTCCCTGGCGAAGGTTGCTCCTCACTGCTCAGGCATCCCCTCTGAGGCTGAGCCACAGCCTGTTGAGTGGCCCTAGGTGGTGCCCTCCCCACCTGCTCTGAACCATGCTTCACCCACCTGTTCAACAGGGGATGCCTGGCCCTGATGGAGGCCACGACTTTTCTGACTGGCATGTGGAACAGGAACCCACAGCACACCCAGGCACTTGGCCCTGATCTCACCACTTAGTCTCATTCTTTGACCCTCAGGGTGGCCTCATAGGGAGCCCCCTGGGTTTTCTCTTCCCCTCCTTCGGGCTCAGGTCCCCACTGGACCTACTACTCGTGCATCTACTATATGTCAGTGCTTTCTCCTTTGCTCCGTTTCTATTGGCTCTGGGGGTAGGGTGTGGAGGGGAGGAGGAGCCTGGGCTCCAGGTCTGATGAGGGAATGGAAGATGACAGCTAATCTCATGGATGCGGAGACAAGGGGTACAGGCATATCCACTGCAAACTGCTGCTCATTTTCAACAGAAGTGACTGAACAAAATCGTCAGTCACTTCCGGAAAGACTGATTTCCTGCTGAAGACTGCCTCGTAGAGTCTACGCCCTCCTAAGAACGTGACTTAGATCTATTCTTGTGAAATACTTGTTCACTGTCCAGCATTGCTTTGCAAATCTTCACAGTGATGTTGGGTTGCACCATGTCCCATCTTCTGGACGGAGACAGCCCAGCCTCACATACTGAGCTCTGCACAACTCCAGAGGGCGCCATCCCCCATAGGCTACAATGGGAAAGTCTCTCCCTCGGACTGTGCTAACGAGGGGGTCCAGGGTGAGAAGAGCAATGCTAGTGCTCTAGAAGGAATCTGATGAAATTCAAAGAGGAAAGGAGGCACATGATGATATAGGTTGGATATGGGTTGTGTGGGGACTGTTGTCTGGCTGACGCCCCAGAGGCCCCAGGGTGGCATTGACTTGGGGACTTTACCGAAGTCTGGGCCAGTGATTCTCTGACTGTCTTAGCCTATTTGTGCTGCTATGACGGAATACCACAGATTGGGTAAATTTTTTTCTTTCAGATGGCGTCCTACACTGCCACCCAGGCTGGAGTGTGATGGTGCAATCCTGGCTTACTGCAACCTCTGCTTCCCAGGTTCAAGCGATTCTCGTGCCTCAGCCTCCCCAGTAGTTGGGATTACAGGTGTGCACCACTATGCCTGGCCAATGTTTGTATTTTTAGTAGAGAAGAGGGTTCACCATGTTGGCCAGGCTGGTCTCGAACTCCTGACCTCAGGTGATCTGCCCGCCTCGGCCTGCCTGCCACTTCCCAAAGTGCTAGGATTATAGGCATGAGCCACTGCGCCTGGCCAGATTGGGTAATTTATGAAGAATAGAAATGTATTCTTTCACAGTTCTGGAGGCTGGGAAGTCCAAGATCAAGGTGCTGGCAGGTTTGGTCTCTGGTTCCAAAATGGTGCCACATTTCTACGTCCTGTAGGGAAGAGGAATGCTGTGTCTTCAAGTTCTTCAGAGGAACAGAAGAGAGTGAACCCACTCCTGCAAGCCCTTTGTAAAGTGGTGTTAATCTGTACATGAGGACAGAGCTTTCATTACCCAGACGCTTCCCAAAGGTCTCACCCCTCAACGCTGTTGCATTGGAGATTAAGTTTCCAACGCGTAACTTTTGGAGGAGACACATTGGAACTGTGGTGCTGCCTTGGATGTGCAGCCCAGGGAGCTTGTTCAGTGCAGATGAGGGTTGCCAGATTTAGCAAACAAAAATCCAGGATGCCTTGTCAAATTTGAATTTTAGATAAACAAATATTTTTAGTATAAATATACTCCATACCGTGTTTAGGACATTTTCATCCTAAAATAATTTGCTGTTTGTTTGAAATTCAAACATAGCTCATGTCCTATATTTTATCTGTCAACTCTAGTACCTGTTTACAGGCTGAGTCCTTCAGATCCTGAGCCAGTGGGATGGGGCGGGCCGGGGGTAGAGAAGAGGTCTGAACACTTGTAACAGCACAGCTTCTTCCAGATGAATCCAATGCAGGTCATCTCTGGACATCTTTGAGAAGCGTCAGTTAGGCCCCCTGGAGACAGCTTTGCTGGGATCGCTGGGGTCTGACTCACACCTGGGAAATCTGGAGGTGAGAGAATGGTTCTGGGAGGGATGCTGCTGGGTAGGGACTGTCCTGAACCCACAGTTTTTCCTTGGAACCAGTGTGGGCTGCACAAAGAGAGATACGCCCAGGGGTGGTCTTAGGATTCATCCCATGAGGCTCCCTGGAGGGGGCAAAGAAATCCGTAAGAAAGAGTCTGGGGTGTATCACCAGGTACTCAGGGGATGACAAAGAGCAGAAAGCAACACAGCATAGAGAGAGCCCCACCCTGGCCTGGGGACTTCAGGAGAAAGCCACCCAGCAGGGAACCATGGAAGAGCCCATGAAGACACCACATAAGAGCCAGCCTTCAGTATCTGTCTGGCCCAAGGAACAGTGAGCTGGTATGTGGGCTCACCTGGACCTGTGCCTTCCCCTAAACTTTCAACTGTGGGGGGCAGGTGAGCAGAGAGGGAGGTGAGAAAGGAACCATGTTCCTAACTGGACCCAGGTAGGGAGGAGGCTGAGCACGGAGTCAGATTCTGTGTCGAGAATGTGACAAGGGCTTGGATATTCTAATGCATAAATCGCCCTGAATTCGGACCCAAGTGACCGTAGGACTATTACCTGAGAATAATCAGAAAAGCTCCGAGTCTCAGTTTTATCTGGACAGAATACATCATGCCCTCTGAATGGCTTATTTATTTGTTTATTTTTTTGAGACAGAGTCTTGCTTTGTCCCCCAGGCTGGTGTACAGTGGCATGATCTCAGCTCACTGCAACCTTCATCTCCCAGGTTCAAGTGATTCTCCTTCCTCAGCCTCCAAAGTTGCTGGCACTACAGGTGCCCACCACCACGTCTGGCTGATTTTTAGTAGACGGGGTTTTACCATGTTGGCCAGGCTGGTCTCAAACTCTTGACCTCAGGTGATCCACCCGTGTCATCCTCCCAAAGTGCTGGGATTACAGGTGTGGGCTACCGCGCCCGGTCTCTGAATGGCTTTTAACAGGAGACAACCAGCTGTGTTTTGATCACAAGCCATGTCGCGGTGCCCATTCCGCTCCTCAGTGCCTTTGCTTCAGGGTTTTCTGTTCAGGCTGGTGGGAAAGGTCTGGCTGAAGCCTCACGATTCCTCCATGTACAGCAGTTTGCTGAACAGCATGTGTGGAAACCTACAAAATCACACAAGCACAGGCAAGTCCCCTGGCACAGGCAGGCAGAGGTGTGGAACAACGGCCACACTCTACCTCCTCCCCCTCCCCAGCTCTCATGTTGGTCTTGGCCGATGGATCACAACTGAGCCAAAAGTTGGCCTTGGAATCTCTTCCAGTGTAGTAGTTTGGGCATCTGTCCCCGGTGAGCAGATGAAACCTACTGTCATTGTTAGACTAGGACCTTACAGACATAAGGACCTCACAGGGATGAGGGATCTCCAGCAGAGACAAAGGTCAGAGGCTTTGGGAGGATGCTTCTTGTGTCCTCTCTGATGTTCACGCAGGCACTCGCTGCTCTGAGAAGCTGTTCTATTTAGGTTGCGTGCATTGTTTAGGAGGTGGTCTGCCTGCTGCTTTAGAGAGTGGGTTCTGGAATCAGACGTACCTTGCTTCAAATTCTGCTTCTGCCATCTCCACAAGGGGCTTTGCACAGGTTATTTAGCCTCGCAGAGCTTCGCTTTCCTTACCACTACATGGGGGATAAGAATAGGCTGACCTCCACAGTCACAGCGACGACGGCACAGTAAGGCGTCCATAACTAGTTTGCTGTGATGGTGGCGTTGATGTTCTGCAGCCCAGGCTACAACTTTAACCACCAAGTTGGCATTT